AATTCGACTTGGTGCTTTAATAAATGAGGAGATTTTTTTAAGAATAATAATAAAAGAAGGTTGCCGTGTTATATTCTAAATGTCGTAATTTCTGTGTGAATTTTTATTATTGTTATTATATTTTGTGTAATATATTTTTTTATAACAATTTGAATGCATGGAAACATTCTGTTATAAAAAGTCTCGTTAAAAAATATTTTCGTTTTCCAAAAATGATAAAGGGTTATGGTTATCTTTACATCGCCATATCATGCGAATTCTCATTTACGTATATCTATTTGGAAAAATTATCTATTTTTGTTCAAAACGTCAGGGTGAGTGACCGAAAGGAAATCGAGTTTCGCTTTAGATGTTTTTTGCATGATGTTTACCATTAGTCTTCGTCTTGCTCTGGCGTTTCGGATCGTTTGAAATGACCAAGAACTTATGGCCTTGCCTTGGAGCCTTTACCTCAGATCCCATATCGTCAAAGATTTGTCACGCAACGTTAGTGTTAGTATATTTTTCGGGTCACGAGACCAGGATTCAAAAACACCTTTAGATTTTATTTTGTTGTTATTGTTATTATCGGTCAATTCAATGATCGATAAACAAACAATGTGATATTGACCATTTGAGAAATAGTGGATGATCTGTATAGGAAAAATTTCCTTTCGGAGAAAACAAATAAAATCCGTTCCAATGGATTTTTTTTTTAATTAGCTTAGTTGATTTTTCTTAACAATCGAAATTTGTAAATAATTTTTGATGTTTGCATGAAGTTTATTCTTCTATAGCGATAGACTCGTAAAAAAATACAATCGATCCAATTGACCTTTAATCTGGGATAAATAAATAAACACAAGGAAAAGGTCAGGACAAAAAGATCTTTTTTTTTAATTAGGAAAAAAAAGCTTAGTTGATTTTTTTAGCAATCCAAATTTATAAATAACTTTTGATCCACATGAGGGTTCTTCTTTGCAAAGGATCTTTATCAAATTTTGCTCAACGCAACAAATAAAAATATGGCCGGCAAATGTTGATGCTCCGAACGAATATACAGATACCTCGCATTTGAATGTAACGTATAAAGCCGAATTACATATAGAACACCATTTAAACACTACATATCCGACCCTCAAATTCGAATGCAACGTAAAAAGCAAAACCAATGCACCGTTTTGGGGGGTAGCGGGCCTATTTATATATCTTTTTGTGGTAATTTATTAGACTACTCGATCAATACACCATCTGGCCACAAATGTCTATTTTATTAAAATTGCATAATTGATCATGAATGCATGATAGGATGCTAAGATACTTCACATCCGGTACTAAGTTTGATGCTCCGAACAAATATATGTGTATGTGATTTGGTCATGTGATTTTATAATATTATGACGTCAGAATATCATTGCACTATAATGCTAATCTATATTTCACGAAACTCACTGTTAACATTTTCATTTAAAGACTTGTTTTTCTTTGCGGAGAACTGAATGACAAATTTTTCGTACAACATATTTTTGATTTCCTTTTTCTCTAATAGGATTAATTTGATTGAAAAGCGAAAATTGCATTATTTAAAGAACAATTTCATCATTACCAAATTCTAGTGATCGATTTATCGTGATTCAAAAAGATTTAAAAGTGATAAAAACAAATTTAAAACCTGTAAAATATGTACCAAAACCTGTCTTATGTGTTATGTAAAGGTCATTCTAAGTACCAATATTGATCAACTTATGTTGCTTCAAACTCAGATACCAAAGACAGCTCAAGCATATCGTTAATATTACTATAACGCGTAGCTAACTTCCAAGTCAATTTAACACAACTCATATATATGTAAAGACAATTTGCTTTTTTACATTTTATGAAATGTAATAAATAATAAAAGAATGGTAAAAAAGAAGAGGCATTTTTATTTAAATGAAAATGCACAGGAAAAAAATAAGTACTTCAAATTATAACATTTGTAAACCTCCCACGATAATTATTCTTCTTGCATCTTTGCAATATACATACAATGATATAATAGTTCTTTATTCATCCCCGGAACACACATCTTTACATAATTTGGAATTTTTGATAATGCTTGTATCAAGTGTTTTACTTGTATCAAGCAATTTTACTTACTTCAGGTGGTTTTACTTACGTCAAGGGCTTTTACTTTAGTCAAATCGTCAAAATGACCCTGGTGAGAAACTACCTTTGGTCAATACTTTAGTTACGTCAATGACTAAAATCAAAAGTTTCGTCATACATCATATAAAAAATATCATGAAATTAAAGAGCGACATGACATAATTCGATCATAAAATTTGTGTGCCAGACCTATAAATTTAACGAGCTTTGATTGTAATAGCGGCTGTAAAAACTTCATTTTTCTAAAATAATAAAAAAAAACTTTGACCAAATTTTTTTTCCAAGTATCTTTCACTCCAAAAAAAATTTGAAACCGAAGATCAACGTGACAATTCTTGATATTCTAGAACAATAGTATCTAATGACCCCGGGGTCCTAGTATCTCATACTATTAAAAATATATTGATGGTGAAGGTCACCCAAAATTAGTTAACGGCAAGTCTGCTGAACAAATGAAAACAAATTAATGAAAAAACAAATAGTAATGTTCCAACTAAGACTATTTATTAGAAGAACTTTACAATGAATTAAATATTTGTTCTCACACAGAGTCCGCTTTTAAATGATCAACAAAGAATCAATCAATGAAATTAGACGGTGTCTTGAGAGAAGGATTTGGATGGTTATAAATTGGAAATCTGTCATTTGGAGTGATGAAAGTAGATTTACAATCTATAAAAGTGATGGACCAGGACGTGTTTGAAGAACTAGTTGCAAATAATCGCGGCATATAAAAATTTAATTGCGGTTCCCTTAAACATGACTTCACCCAACTGTAAATTTTGAGATGGGGCTTGATGATGTGATGTTGTTTTTTCAGTGAAGGATTTAGGCCCAAATGGCTTATGGTATACACAAATACTAGAAACAATTTGTTACCTTTAATCGAAAAAGGCTTTAATAGGAAGGGTATTTCCATCAAAATGATGACAATTCCCAGAAAAGTTGTAAAAAATTGATTTTTTACAAATGAAACCAACGTTTTGTCTAATTAGCCAAGCCAGTCTCCTGACTTAAAATATTAACGAGTTGGAGTCCGCATCACAGGAAAAATTCCATGTTTAAGGGAACCGCAATTAAATTTTTATATGCCGCGATTATTTGCAACTAGTTCTTCAAACACGTCCTGGTCCATCACTTTTATAGATTGTAAATCTACTTTCATCACTCCAAATGACAGATTTCCAATTTATAACCATCCAAATCCTTCTCTCAAGACACCGTCTAATTTCATTGATTGATTCTTTGTTGATCATTTAAAAGCGGACTCTGTGTGAGAACAAATATTTAATTCATTGTAAAGTTCTTCTAATAAATAGTCTTAGTTGGAACATTACTATTTGTTTTTTCATTAATTTGTTTTCATTTGTTCAGCAGACTTGCCGTTAACTAATTTTGGGTGACCTTCACCATCAATATATTTTTAATAGTATGAGATACTAGGACCCCGGGGTCATTAGATACTATTGTTCTAGAATATCAAGAATTGTCACGTTGATCTTCGGTTTCAAATTTTTTTTGGAGTGAAAGATACTTGGAAAAAAAATTTGGTCAAAGTTTTTTTTTATTATTTGCCCTCGATATTATTATTATTACAATTAAAATTATCACATTACTTAATTGTAGAAATTATTGGAGATGAAGATGATGATGTTAGTCTGAACAATTGTGGAGGAGTTGGCATCGTAAACATTATGGGCATTGAGAGAATTTAGATATTTGAGGAGATGATAATATTGAGAAGTGGAAAAAATACAAAGGTTGTATGATGACTACATTTCTTTTTTTTTTTGGTCGATGAGCATAATTGGGATAAATAGATAGATTCATTAGCCATTGAGCAAATATTGAATAAATATGCCTAATTTCAGCATTAGAATTCAATTCATTGGACGCAACTTTTTAACATAATCAAGTCTAGATTCACACACTAGTCCTATTTACATTTTTAATCTTGCTTGTAAATTTCTATATATGATAAATCAAAAATGTGTTTTGTGGTATTTTAATAAAGTGAAGTATTCTAGATGAGGTTCTTCTAGAATATGGTAAAGCAATTCTTTAATTGGTGATGAAGTATTTTGTAAAGTTTAGTATAAAATCGAAGAAACTAGCCGATCAAGTCCGAAGCACATAATTCAATGTTGGTGAAGGGACTAAAAGAGATGGAGGAGTTGGCAGATATAGAAGAAGAAATAGAGTTGTTATTAGTACTAAAAGACATCTTTTTGTAACAATGCGAAAGAAAAAGCTTTTTCAGCAAAATTATATACCTACTTTTTTGTTATTAAATTCACATGACATTTATTTATGTTTCACACATAAACTTGACCAATTGTTACGAGCATTAATTTTTAGAAATTTATTCTGTTCTTAAGTAATGGCTGTTAGTATAACTTTTTTAAATTTGATTTCGTAGATTCTATTAAATTTTGTTAGGTTAAAAGACAATTGTCCTTTCCATATATAATTTCAAAATAGGGTTTGTTTAATTTTAGTGCACCTGTTGATATAGATATTCGTTTCAATGGAGAAGAAAATAGGAAATTAGTAGAAGTTAAAGTTGATAAAGATAGGCGTGAAAAGTTCCCTTTATACTTTGATGGCGAGACTGTTGCTGGTAAAGTAAGTAATGGAAGTTAATTCAATTTTTAAACAAAACAAGCCAGCTAAATTAGTTTTATGCTATTTTACTTTTATATAGATAACGATTAGACCAAGAGATGGTAAAAAGATTGAACATCAAGGAATCAAAATTGAATTTGTTGGGAATATTGGTATTTGATATACACATATAAATATTAATAACATACAACTATTTTTTTTATATTTTTAAAATAAATCATTTTTACTAAAATAACAATAATAACATCTTTGATCATTAATCTATTTAGAACTTTTTTATGACCGTGGTAATCATTATGAGTTCACTTCATTAGTCCAAGAATTAGCGGTACCAGGTGAATTGAGACATCCGCAACCTTATGAATTTGAATTCAAAAATGTCGAAAAACAATATGAAAGCTATCATGGAATAAATGTTAAATTGAGATATTTTGTAAGAGTTACAATTTCAAGACGTTTAACAGATATTGTGAATGAAAAAGATATATGGGTTTATTCATATCGTATGCCACCAGACAGCAATAGTTCTATTAAAATGGAAGTTGGTATCGAGGATTGTTTACACATAGAATTTGAATATAATAAATCAAGGTAAATCAAATAAATTTCATAACCAATATATATTGTTTGTGATTGGTATGATATTAATTTTTAGCGCTTAATCAAAGATACCATCTTAAAGATGTGATTGTTGGAAAAATTTATTTCTTACTTGTGCGTATAAAAATTAAACACATGGAATTATCGATTATTCGTAGAGAAACAACTGGTGCAGGTAAATGTTCTTGATTTATAATTAGTTCTATATAATTGGATTCTATGTTATAATAATATATTTTATTGTTATTAAAAGCTCCAAATCAATATAATGAAAGTGAGACAATTACAAAATTTGAAATCATGGATGGTGCACCAGTTAGAGGAGAGACTATTCCTATTCGTTTATTTCTGGGAGGTTTTGAATTAACTCCAACTTTTCGTGACGTGAATAAAAAATTTTCTACTCGTTATTATTTAAATCTTGTACTTGTTGATGAAGAAAATAGAAGGTATTTTAAACAACAAGAAATCACGATTTATAGAAGAAAAGGTATGAAGTAGCTTTAATATTAATAAATAAAGTGAAATAAATATAAAATGGATACTAATATTTCCTTTTTTTTTTTTTGTTTCTATAGACGATGGACTTTCACCAAATGATCCTAAATAAATTATTAGAATAATTTTTTCTATAATGTAAATTTATTTATTATCAATATCATTTTAATAACTGAATTAAAATTTGTATAATATTTATCTTTAAATGATCTCCTTTGATCAACTATTTCTTAAATCACACCACATATTATTATTAATAAAGAAAAAATCTTTAATTTTTTTTTTAAATAAGATGAAAGGGGAATCCTTTAAATATGTCAAATCAGGATTTTTTAAAGATCTGTAATTTCCATATTAATACGTAAACTGGATAAGTCGGACGCAGCAATCAATTGTTTAAAGTAATTGATAATATAGATAATATAAATAATCCGATGTGCATATAGTTGGTTGATGCATCAAATTTAGTCGTGGTTACAAATTTCCCATACCCGTCGTTATATTTTTTTTTAAAAAAAAGGACAAAAAAAAATGTACTACTGATATTTAAAAACGCCTAATCTTTAGCTTGATTATAAAATTAGTAAATATGGAAAAACTTACAACATCTCCAAAACAAATTACAGAAGCAAACCGTGTCACCTTCGTTTTTCCTCCCAAAAAATCTTCGGAAGAATCAAGTCGGATTCCTTCTCTAATATCAGTTTCTCCTGCTAATTTCACTTTAAAACAACCACATTATCATGCTCTTCATCGTCCTTCACGGCGTGAAAAATTAGTTGTTGAGCTTGATAATTGTGCTATCGGTAGTGTCTGGAAAATAGTGGATGCTTTCCTCAACATCTTATTATGTATAATTTATATATCATACACTGCTTATATCAGAAAATCTTTGCCGCCGGTGAATGTGTGCTTGGAAGTAATAATATCATTACTATTAATAATAGAATATGTTCCAAAATTTTATATTTATGAATTTGATTCATGGAAGTCACTTTTCACCAGACCTTTGCCACTTCTAACAATCCTAACAATCCTTCCTACTGCCGCCACTGCTCTTGATCCTGTGTTCGAAGAAACTCGTTACATTGTATTTTTTTACCCTTTTCGATTTATTCGATGTTTTTTATCTGTATATGATTGTTTAGTTAGAAGTGAAAAATCTATCATCAAAATTGGTCAAGTTACTAGTAAAGTATTAATCTTTTTGACATCCATTCTTTTTCTTATATTGACCGGATCGTCCTTGTTACATGGTGTTGAATATGCCTATATGGTAAGCAAAATATCTAGTATACATTTATATTTAATTATTATTTATCAATTATTATTTTCATATTTATCTATTTATGGCTGTTTGATTTATATATTTATATTTGTAGGCTGTTGATGTTACATTCTTGGATGGTAATAATTCATGTAATCTTTTTATAATTTACTTAAAATTTTTATTAATCTGGTAATTTTATTGATAAATAGCTGTTTTCTTTACAACTATTATGTTGGGCACTGTTGGTTATCTTAGTGAAATAGTACCTGATAATGCCTTCCCTAGAGTTCTTCTTTTGGTGATGTTTACAACAGGTCTTATATTTATTCCGGTAATTAGTCAAATCAATTGTATTTTCTTTTTATAAAAAACCAACCAATTATACATGAATCGATCATTTATTTATCAATTTCTCATCTAGTATTCTATATCTGAATTGATTGCATTAATACGCTCAAAATCTATTTATGATAAATCATTCAAAACAATTTCACAACAACCCCATGTCATCATCATTACTCCAACAATAGAACTACCCTCATTAAAGCATTTTTTAAAGGAATTTTATTCATTAGCACATGGCCTTGAAACTGTCAACACAAAAGTATTACATCAAGAGTTTTTTGGAGTTCTAAACAAAACTTTAAATTACATTTGCTTGTTTGCTTGTTATTTATATATTTATATCTTTTATCAATAATTTTATTTAGGTGGTAATTTTAAATCCTACAGAACCAAATGATCGTTTAAAGTCATTTTTATTGGATCCTTTATATGCACATCGTGTACAATACATTAGGGGTAGTTCACTCGAGTCACGTAGCTTAAAAAAAGCAAATGCAAAAAAAGCCTCTGCATATTTTATTTTAGCCAAAAAATATACACAACAAAGCGATACTATTGACGCAGAAAATGTTTTAAAAGCAATGGTAAATAAACATTTTTTTTTTTTTAAAAAAAAAGGAATTCAATGTAATTATTTTCTAATAACCTAAATAATAATAGGCATTAAGTAAATACGATGAAGGTCCTAAACTTTATATTCAATGTATCCTTCCAGAAAATAAAGTTCATTTTGAAAATTTAAGTATGTTACAAAAATTTTTTTCTTTTTTTTTTTTTTTTGCTCTAAAAATATTTAATTAAATATTATTAAATAAACAAATAAACATTGTTTGTTTAGATCCTGAATTAATATTATGTATAGATGAATTAAAACTTGCCATACTTGCTCATTCATGTCTAACTCCTGGATTTTCAACACTTTTATATGGTCTTACAACCACGTTCACTTATGAATCAGCTTATGAATTAAGGGATATTAGCAAAACGTCGGTTGGTTTGGACAATGGCTTCATTGAAGATTACATTGAGGGTATTTCTCAATCCATTTACACTACAACTTTATCAAATTATTTTGCTGGTTATACATTTCCTGCTATTGCTGGTTAGTGGATTATAAATTAAATTTTTTTCATTAAAATTTTTTTTAAAAGTAGTTAATATATTATACTCATGAACCGATGAACGTATAGGTCGTTTATATGAAAGTTTAGGTGTTGTACTATTTGCCATTGGTATTCCGAAACAAAGTTCTCTATTTAGACCATCAAATAATACATATGGCCATGGTGACTGTGAGGAAGAAGATGCTAATAATTATATGGTTTTAATTAACCCTGGAGATTATATTGTAAAAGGAGATGAAGTTGGATTTATAATTGCTTGTGATGGCGCGCTGGCTGAAGGTGTTTCCAATTATGAACGACATAATTCGCATGTTCGAAACAATGAGGATTCATCTTTTGAGTCACAACAAATTTTTTCAGAAAGACATCCATTATTGTCATCTAACGCGTTAAAAAATAATGGTGGTGGTTCATATTTAGGTCTTCCTACAACTTCTGATAAAATATATCACGAGTATCCCTATAAACCAGATTTTAATACACGTCGTCAACGTGCACTTTCTACTCCTCTTGCCTTTGCAACAGATCATCACCTTGAACATCATCAACATCACAAGCAACACCACCATAATCACAGTGTAGATCCTTCTTCCTCTTCATCAAGTTCTCTTGATAATGATCACATGAACCCAATATTGGATACAATCAATGGACATATCCTCTTGTGTGATTATTCAACTGCAACTTTCCCACGTAATTTGGATTGTTTTGTTAGCCCATTACGTAAATCACACTTGGATAAGTTTAAACCAATTGTGATTCTTTCGCCAGTAAGACCTACAAAAAGTCAATGGAAAATTTTAAGTCAATTTGATCAAGTATATTTTGTTGAAGGAAATCCAATGACACGAGAAGGCCTTGAACTCGGTAGAGTCAGATTTGCAAATAAGGCTGTGAGTATCATTAATAATTTCAGTTGGCTAAGCATCTTTTAAAGCTAACAATAATTTTAAAAAAAAAAATTTTTTTTTTAAATCATTATTTATATTTTATTAAAATATCTAGGTTATATTAACTGATTCCACTAGAATTTTAAAGTAAATGAGGGGTTTTTTTTAAAAAAATTTAAGAATTTATTAAATTTAATTAATTGACCAATTTCCAATCTTTCAATTTAATTCCCTTATCCAAAAATTAACCATTAGGGATGGGGAAAAGACTGAAGACGCGCCAGCAATGTTGGTTTACTTGAACATTAAGGCAATGTCTAACGAGGGAGACATTGATGTGATTGTGGAGTTTGTACATACAAATAATATGAATTTTATATCAGAAGACACATCAGTTATAGACAAGAATATGCAAGGTAATTAATTATCTATTATTTTTATTATTTAATTTTCATTATTTAATTTTCATTATTTTTTTATATATGTATAAATACTAAATTACATTTATTTAAACAGCACATAATTCACCAGCTTTTATGGCAGGGACTTGTTTTTCTTTATCTATGTTGGATAGCATAATATGTCAATCGTTTTATCAACCACATCTAGTTGTTATCATTAATCAATTACTTTTTGGGGCTCCTCCACTTCATCTCCCTTCAGGTGCAACTTGTTCTGCACCTGCTCATTCGCACATTTTTCAAATTCCTGTGCCCGCAAGATTCATAGGTTCACAATATGGATCACTGTTTCATTTCTTATTGGGTGAGAAAAAATCTATTCCTTTGGGCCTATACCGTACTAATAAATTAAGCACACCAAATGGTAAAACCAAATACTTTAAATATGTATATACTTGCCCTAAATATAATGTGAGGTTGAGAGAAGATGATAAAGTTTTTGTGTTGAGCAAACGGATTCCATCTATATTGTAATCTATTTTTAAATTATTTCACTTAAAAAAAAAAAAAAAAAAAGTAAAAAAATATATAATTAATTAATTAATTCGACAGTAACCAACCACTAGTCTAGAAAACATTTTTGATTGGAAATTTCATCTCAAAAAATTGATGATGTGACGCGGAAAGCTGTATCTTTTCCACGTGATCATGCAAATTATTCCCAAGCAGAGATTTGTTTGATTTTAATGATAAAGATCATTACTGGTTGGTACTTTTTTTTTTGATTAACAAACTTACAATTGAGAATGCAACGTAATCCATTTGCCTTTTATTTTGGTTCAAGGCAATAGTCTATTTTATTAATATAAATAACCCACATTTTTTCATAACACCAATATAGAAATATTTCAAGTTTAACCGTGAAATTAAAAAATTGCTACGCGAATAATAATAAAATCGCATATACAAATTCCGTTTGAGAAATAAGTAGCTAAAAAGTGAAAAGCCTCTTCATATTTCTCGATGGATGCATATATATAATCAATGAAAATAATGAAAGGAAGTGGTTGTTAAATATAAATGATTTGTATATAATAAAAAATGATGATAATACTTAATGGATGAGTCTTCTCATCCACACAAACTCCATTTCAACTCTTCCGCCCCATCATCATCTAATAAAAAATAGAAAATAAAAAATAATTAAATAAGGATCAGCAATAAAAGAGCTGCATATTGTCAGAGATTGGTTTTCATGCAAAATTGATATATTCATATAATAAAAAATTTAAAGGACGCGATTTTTACTAATTAATGCTTCACCAGAATTTGAATTAACAACTTTTTTTGATTCAGTCAATTTTTTACGACTATTATAATCAATCAATCTAAATTAAAGTTCTAACTTTTACGCCAAAAAAAATTATTAAACATAAACGTTACACTTATGTTTATATTATTAGAAAAATTTAACTAGCTGATTTGTAATAAATTATTTTTTAGTGAAGAGAGCTTTGGTCCATTTATCTCAGCTTCAGCAAACACCACAACATCCTCGATCAGAATCAAAAGTGAAGATTTTTACTTCAACCGTTATATAAACCTCCCAAAGCATGTCATTCTGCAAGAAGGTGCAAAAGTGATGTTCCTTAACAACAAGTTGTTTGATTATAGAATTTGCAATTGGACAATCAGCGCGATGATCAAAATGCTGAAGTGGTCTTTCTGAAAACCCGCGATATCACAAAGGTGACTATGCAAAAAGAAACCACTTACTTTGATATCGATTGAAGTTTTGCATCAAGGCAACAATTTCCTCTGCAGAATGCCTTCGCTCTTACCGTGAGGATTGACATTACCTCGCGCAACTGTCAACATCGACGAAAATATGTTCGCACCTGGTCAAGTATACGTGGCTTGAGCAGAGGCTTTTTTGGGATTCGCTTGGGAACTTGGACTTCGACTTTGCTTGTATAAAGACAGATCAATCCGTGATTCAAGAATACGCAAGATTGAATAGCGTGGACTAGAGGGGTCTTGGCCAAATTAAAAATAGCAAAAGCAATTAATTAACATCTAACATATATGAGAATCTCGAATTTTTTGTATTTACATAACATATAAAAGTTTCACAAAAAAATGTTCCCGGTTTTCGTGTAACATTCCAAAAATGTATTTCTCTACGGCAAAACAAAAAGCATTAAGCAAACATTTAACATAGCGAAAAAAATGTCCTGGAACCTTTCAGAATTTTTGATGTAAATTTTGTGGCTGGGGAAATGTAGACATTATACAAATGGATGTCTGAAAGAATACATAACGTCAATGCACGAGGAGATGCCGTGGTGTGGAGTAAACTTGATTTAGGGAATGAATGGAGTCAGGTAATGGGGTATATGTGTAAATATCTTAATATTTAATATGAAGTTTCTAATAACTTTAATAATGATGGGAACGAAAATGAAAATGCAATTTCGAATGACAAGCAATCTTCTACAAAAATGAAAAAAAAATTTTTTTCAAAAAGATTGTATATATATATATAGAAGAGAAAATGCAATCATATCTTTTAAAGTCAATAATAAGTCCATTGTTGGACATGGAATTTGAATAAAACTTTGAAGGATTGAATATATAATCAATGAGCTTTTGGCTCAATTAGAAGCAAAAAAAGAGAGAAGTAGTTATTTTATGAGAAGTTATATATACTTTGTTTATAACTTATTTTGTTTTTCTAAATTAAATTTTATTTCTATATAAAATAGAAAAAAATTACATAACGTTATTAGTGAAGATGACAATAATAATAATATCAATAAAGGAATAACAAAAACGGTGGCCGCTGCAGAAGCATCAATAGTAATGGCAATATAGACTAGTGATGTTAGCCGGCTAAGAAATTTTTAAACGGCTTAGCCGGCTTGAGCCAATCAAATTCTATTCTCAAAAATAATAAAAAATATTCATTCATTTGTAATGCCGCCAAAAAAGAAAAAGAAAACTAATCCACAAAATAAGCAATTAATTAGTTCCAACACTCGTAGCAAAGCAAATTCTTGGTCTGTTGGGTCATTGCATAACAATATTAACAATGGGTTAAATAACAGTAGTAATATTAATAGTATTAGTAGTATTGGTAGTAGCAACATTAATAATTGTATTAGTAGCAGTAGTAGTAATAATCGCAGCAATGATAATAATAATAGTAATGATAATAATAGTATTAATAATAATGAAACATTTGATTATTAATCGATTTTTTATTATGTTTTAATTGAATTTCTCAATAAGAATAAATAATTCATTTGATTCAAATGTTAGCTGGCTAGAATTTTTTACCATATTCATCAACAGTTTTGGATACAAATTTCTGATTGGCCAATTTAAATTTCACGCACAACATTTATATAGTAAAATAATAAAAAAACCCCGATTTTTAGTGAATTTATACAAAGTATGATATTTGTCTTATAAATTATTAGATAAAAAATTTATTCAAGTTCTTAGCCGGCTTAGCCGGCCAAGGCTTTTCTACCGGCTAACATCACTATCAGAGATATCAAATATAAATTTAAACTTTTATAGCAATAAAGATGATAATTAAAGTCTCCACCTATTTGGATTTCGCGAAACGTCGAAACCTCGATTGGTAGTAGCAACGTCGAAGCCCATCAGCCAATAAAAAAATCAAAATAATATATATTATTAAAGCATCAACAACATTTTTTTTTATTTGTAATTAAATATTTTATACAAACTAAGTGACGAAAAGGCTTGGTGGCAGCAATGAAAAAGACTTCAATATTAAAGGCCTATAGGGTTGTTGGGTGAAACCTATTTGGATTTCATGAAATCAAACAATAATAATAAGTCGAAATTAATGACACTTTTATCTATTAATAATTATTTTTGAATAAGGTCTTTGTTTTCTGCGCACCTGCACAACAATAAAATTTAAACAATTTTGTATACTTTATTTTTTAATTTTCGTAAGCAATGCACACGAATTTTAATATGCAACTTGTTATTGCAAGAGGTTTTAAATGTCCATATACACACATATATTCAATATAAGCTAGGTAAATGTTCAAATTTTCTTGCAGAAGGATCTTTCCAATAAGATGTGAAATATTTAAATGCCAATTATGATGATTTAGATGGTTTGATCCTACTTCTTTTTTTATTGGTAACATCACAACTACAAACAAGAGTTTGTTTTCATATTTCATTTTCAAAAATTTTCTGATCTATCCTTTCTAAACTTAAATCCTAGTTGTTGTGCCGATTTGTTCAATGTCCTTAATACTAACTTCCAAATTGGAAATGCATACTAAAATCTAATTTAAATTAGCTTCAACATCTAGCTTCTTGTTCTCATTCTCCTTCTCCTTCTCAGTAACATTACTATCTTCAGGAATGTTCACTAAAAACGTGGTGATTGGTATAAATTCGCTTTTGCTTTCAGAATTACTTGAAAGGCCAATTTCATTCATGATTACTAACAAAGTTTTTAAGGGCAAATTTATTAAAAAAAAGATTTTTTTTTTGCAACTAGGTGCATATTAAAAATTTCGCACATAGGATGCATTTATACGCATAGCAAACAAAATCTAATTTCCCATATGAAAAATAATGAAAATAATTAATAAATGGTGATTATCTATCTACCCAACAATTATTCAACTTTAACCTTATCAACTACTTATCGTTATTATTATTATTATTATTATTACAATTATCATTGTAATTAAATCAACTATTTAATTTGTCCTATTAAATTATATTTCATAATTTAATAAGCTATCATTACTTAAATTCAATTTAGCAATTTCATCGTTTAAATTTAATATTCTACTTGAATGATATGCTAATGGATGTGATTTGTGAATTTGTTGTGAATTACTATTATTACTATTATTATTATTATTATTATTATTATTACCATCACCACCACCACCAATATTATTACTATTTTCATTAAGATTCTCAATTTTAAATTTATTACGAGCAAATACCAAAACCTCTCTGATAGTTGGTCTTTTTAATGGATCTCCATCCCAACACTTCTGCATCATTTGTACACAATCATCAGGCATTCCTGGTAATATTGGTGGTCGTAAACCTTCACA